TGAATGTAAACAAAATTGTGGTAACTGTGTTTTATCTTTATCAATTCATAGCAATGCTGAGGTGCATTTCCTTAACTCTTATATTTTGTATGCATATAACTGTTTACCCACCTGCAGATGTAGCTGCGTGGCTTGTAACATATGTTGGTTTAAATCAGCTCGAGTCATCTTGTGATGGCAGCCATGTTCAGCAAAAGTGCACGCCACCACCACCTTTGGGCAAGTCTCTGTCATGTGTCCTGCAACCTCCCCACGTGGCATCATAGCTCCACACATCTCACATGGGACAGTCACACGCACACAACTCAATAAATGCAGCTGAAAGACAATGTAGTATAAATTATATTTTCTAAATAAGTTTTGCTTTGTACAGAATTATACATTTAACAATAAACCCTTTCTTGAAAAATAAATAGAATTTTGAGATACATTTTCTGCATCAGGTAATAAAATTTGATGACTAGGGTTTTCAAAGCTTTTAACGCTTTCTAATCTTACATTAAGCCAAGAATTATAACATTAAGAATTATGAATTTTGTTTACCCATTGATGGCTCCAATAGAAATTAGTCATCAAGGAGCCAATTACTAGGTCTACCTGGCTTCGACTGCATATCTAAACCCTTGACTTTTAGGGAAAAATGCTTTGTTCCTCTTGCTACAATCTTTGTGATAACTTTATAAAAAAATATTGTTATAATAAAGTAAATACAAATAATTATAGAAATTTAAAAATAAAAAGTAAGATTAATTAAGTCTAGTATGTGACACCTTGGTCATGAAGTGCATGTGGAGGCACATCACTGAATACAAAATCAATAAAACAAAAACATAATGGACAGTGCATGTACCCAACATCAGTGAGTTGGGACAAGAAATACCTGCACTGGAATTTTGATTAATGTGCTTAAAGTCTCTACAGCAAATACTGCATGCTACTGTTGTCCTAGACTATAGCAAATGTTATATGTCTGAGTAAACATGTTTAGGAGAACCGTTTTTATACTATTGCCAATAAAAAGATACATAAGTACAAAAAATCAAAACATAATTTAGAAATGTAACTAACAACCCTAATTCAAATAACGACTGTTTAATAAAAATATCAATATATCAAATACATTAACTTACTTGCTCCTGATTGAAAGTGAAAGGCTGTTCGCAGAGAGCACATTTCTTTACCCGCAGGACACATTCTGAACTCAGATGCTGTTCCACTTCTTTCCGTAACACTGTTGCTGAGCATTCATTAGGGCACATGACTGGCTAGAAAAAGGAAAAGAAATCTATTCATGCAATTCTTTGTTTCTTCCTTGTAGAAAATATCCTGCACTCAAAGATATATACACCTAGCTTTTGAAAATCATACGGAGCCCACTGCTGCGTCAGAGCGTGAGCCCCGATACAGCGTCACACTGGTGGGTGTCTCATATGTGGAAACACCCATTGTTAGTGGGTTAAGTCTATCCTTTAAAGAGGACAATATTCAACATTGCTTCCAGGTTCCCTAGTTCCACTTATTCAGACCACTTCAAACCAGGAGCTTGAAGTGTTGTGAAAAATAATCTAGTACAGAGTTTTCAATGAAAGACATTGCAATACAATGTGCTGCAATAATTCTAATAAAACAATTCAGTCCACTGAAGATCATAAAAGTTATCTATTCACTAATTCTATTTTTAATCTCACAGAATTTTAGATTTAACATTTTAAATATTTTTCTTTTTTTACCTGAAATGAACAAGCCTGAGTATGATGCTCTATATACATCAAGTCAACTGTTCGCCTACAGCCCAAGCCATGATTTGGACACTTCACACTAAGCTGCAATATCTCACGTTCAGCACACGAGTCGGGGAATAAATCAGCTTCTGTGAGGGGAGTATTATCAACTGGACAGCGACTACTGCTCTCACTGTTACAAAAGAAATATAGGATTCAATGAAACTGTATACTGAATTGGCACATAAAACTATCTTCTCCAAAAGAAGTTTTTCTAATACCAAAATGAGTCACATAAACAAAAGTAAGCAAAAACTTAAGTTATCTGTATTAATACATAACAAATTTTTTCTCAAATCACAATACCTCATACAGTTGAAGATACAGTCTTTACAAAAGCGGTGACCACATGTAGTTTGTATGGGTGAGCGTAAGCCCAGTAGACATATGGCACACTCATACTTAGGGTCAAGAGGTGGGACAAATTCATAATCAAATCCCTCTTGCTGAAATGTTGAAAAGTAAGTGAGCAGAAGAAACGTCATGCACTCCTGTCCAAATATATTAGAATAATACAGGAGAATAACAAATATTCAGAACATGAATATCAAAATATATTGAAGCAAAGTACTTCACCTACTTACACGAGACAAAATTGTAATGGACTCTTCGACACACTCCATTCTTCATGACCTTTTTTATCAGCATCAAACTGTTCACTTATGCATTTCCTAAAGAATATGAAAAGGATTTAGTATCTTCAATTATGCCCAATCTTTAAGAATAACTGTCAATATTTTTCTTAAAATAAGTACTAATCATTGCATTGTGAAAGACAAATCAAAGAATACTGCAGAAAACAATTTTAGTATAATGGTGATAAAACTTATCATATGAAAATTATTAAATAAAAATTCCAACCCTATCTTATCAAGAGGAGGATGACCTAATTCCCAATATTTAAAAGAAATAACATATAATTATACAATGGCAGGGTTATTATAAAAAATGGGACCCTACAATGATAAATAAAAACAAAGAATACTGCCTCATAAAGGAACCAAAATGACAGGAATGGGTTTGCAGACTTCTGCTAGTGCAATGAAGGCTTGTAGGCCATAATAACTGCTTGATGGGAGTCATATTATCAACAATTATTAATCATACCAAGGATAAAAAAGACAAACAAAATGTTTTCTAATATCACACTCATTAGTTTGCAATACTTGTCTGAATTACAAAACTTGGCTGTTTAGTACAGACAAATATCAAAAGTGTTTTTATAATACTTTCAGAGAGGCCACAATTATTTCATTCCATGGTTAACAGATTTTACTCCTGAAAAAGCAAAATGAAAATAAAAATAATTGGGTGTTTTGACTTTTCTTTTAATAGTTTATCAATTTCAGGAAACATGTGATAGGTGGTAAAAAATAAATGAAATACAGATGACAAAACTACACCAGGCTATAATTACTTAATTCCTTCAATCTATAGACCTCAACTCCAGCACCTTCAAATAAATTTACAATTGTGTAGACATCACCAGAAAGCTAATAGCGATGAGGTTATCAATTTCTATTACATTTACATTGATTTATTTTCATGATGGTTGGCTATGTTGAACATCGGCAGGAAAATATAAAAGTTGATTTTGAAAATATTTTTATTTTGTTCATATCAGAATCAAATTGTACCGGATTTGGTGCAATGTGAAAAAAATTATGTTGAGTTATCAATCATAGAAAGAACACTTGACATTAATATTCCAAATGTCACATCCAAAGCAACCTCAATACCATGCTCTCATTCCACTGACAGCCTTCTATGTTTTGCCTAATTTAATCTACTCTTTGTTTTTACTCAGTCCTAACCATGCCTCATATCTAAACTTACCCTTTGCTGACCTGATCTCCACCGTCCATTCCTAACTTTGGTAAAACATACCGATACATCTGTAGACACTTCACCTACACCCCACGTTCAACACTTTAGCAAAAGTATATTCTAAGGTGCATTTTTGAAGGCAAGATATTTCTTTTTCCTATTTTTTTTGGATTGAAACAACTTGTTTCATTCCTGTTTTGAACAGAACTTTTTGGTCAGATATCTCAGTCAGATACCAAGCATTTTCAAACCACCTTCAGAGCAAGCTTCCTAGTTTAATGACCAGATCCTGCAATGCATGCCTTCACACTGATGAGGATAAACAAATCTCCCATGCATGTAGTGTATCAAGACTTGCCGACTTACTGTCAAAGAGGTCTCAGCATCTCTCTGTGATCCTTTTCTAAACAGTTACCAAAGGAAATAACCCTTTTCAATTAACCCCCAGTGTATCTAGTACAGAAACATATACTAACACGACTGTATCTCAAGGTCTAATGTGCATTTTTATTTGTCAACTATAACCAACATACTCTGAAGAATATCTTCAAACAGGCCAGTATATTCTTTTTAAACATAATGTTCAACATTGACGAAAGCAGAAGCACACTAATGCCCAACAAGTGGAATCACATGCAATGATGCAAGACTAGAATTTTGGGATATTGCATCGGTTCTCATTCTCCTAGAAGACCGAGTTTGGCATTTAACGAACTCTAACGTCAGAGGCCGATGGCTCCCTGCATTGCATCCAAGGCAGAACTAGTGGATAGCATTTTAACCCCAAGCTTTGTAAAGCAGAGGACCGAGTTCCGTCTCGTGACTCACCTCTCCTGCCAAGCCCCAAGGCAGGAATTCCCCAGTCATGAGTCATGAGTCATCCGTTCACGACTCATCAAACAAAACCTGAAGGAGCCTCACCTGTTGATTGCCCTTTCCTTAGCGACATATTGCACGGTCTATCAGAGAGCACTGTCTGCCGCGTCCAAGCGTCATAACATCCTTCAGAGGCTGTTTGGCGAAAGGCGAAGGACTCCTGTGACTCATCGGCGAAGGTCAAGCGCCGTCCTATGAGCAGGAATTGCAGGGAAAGGCTCGGGGAACCTATTGACGCTCAGCAACAAACACATGATAGCCAGCGTCGCAAAAAGAAGTCTGTAGATTATCAAAAAATACATGTTATCAATATTAAGATCTTTACAAATGAATGAAAATATACCTCTAGCATCCTTCATAAATACATTTTGCGTCAAGCAGAAAACTGGAGGAAAGCTAAATCTTTATTAACATATCTTTAATGTCCAAAATAAATGAAAGGCATTAGAATGGAGTACTCACAAATATCACAAGAGGAAATTGCAAAGAAATAAGGAGGCCACCCAACTCCGGTGAAGGTAACGCCTTGTTTACATCGGCTGGGCGTTGCGAAGGCACTGACGTGAGGAGCTGAGGGGACAGCTTGATACTCGAGGACTTCGCCATGGAATTGCAGGATTCCTTTTATCCCAGAGCTCAGTATATTGAGACTGTAATTATCAGTGATAAGTACAGACATTTAATATTTTTAGCAGAAGAGTAAGGCTCAGGAGTTTTAACATGTCAAATATTGTTCTGTAGGTAGGGTCATTAATTACATAGCTAGGAGTATATTATTAACAGGTTGGAGTTTTTTTTTGTGTGTATTTCCAGATTCACACAGCCATATGATACAAGGTAAACTTTCCATGTAGTGTATAGAACTACAAATATGACACTTTACAGCTGTGGTATTTCCTTTCGTGAAGACGGGTGAAACTACACCTGCAGGCAAAGAATAATGTCAGAAATGAAGAAAATAGTGTGCAACTAATGCCACAGAGAGTAAGTCCACGCCAATGGGGTGGAGGTCTATGGGCAGAACCTCTGATCGAAATATATGGTAATTGGGTTGGGGTCTAGGGGCAGAATCTCAGACCGGAATATATGGTAATTGGGTTGGGGACTGGGGGCAGAATCTCAGATCGGATTATATGGTAATTGAGTTGGGGACTGGGGGCAGAATCTCAGATCGGATTATATGGTAATTGAGTCGGGGACTGGGGGCAGAATCTCAGATCGGATTATATGGTAATTGAGGGGGACTGGGGGCAGAATCTCAGATCGGCAGAATCTGGATTATATGGTAATTGAACTGAGAATCTCAATCGGATTATATGGTAATTGAGTTGGGGACTGGGGGCAGAATCTCAAATCGGATTATATGGTAATTGAGTTGGGGTCTGGAGGAGAAGCCCCTGGGTTAGAAAAGGTTTTTGGTTCATATGATGATGTTTGCAGATTACCAGGAGTGGCTGGAGCAATGTTATGTATGGATATTAATATTGTCACACACACACACACACACACACACACACACACACACACACACACACACACACACACACACACACACACACACACACACACACACACACACACACACACACACACACACACACACACACACACACACACACACACACACACACACACACACACATCACACACACATACACACACACATACACGCACACACACACACACACGCACACACACACGCGCACACACACACGCGCACACACACACACACACACACGCGCACACACACACGCGCACACACACACACACACACACACACACACACACACACACACACACACACACACACACACACACACACACACACACACACACACACACACACACACACACACACACACACACACACACACACACACACACACACACACACACACACACACACACACACACACATTAAGTAAGGCCAAGAGTGGTTTTAGGTAATTAAGTGGAACTAAGCTTAATTAGGATAATTCCTCCATTCCAAGTTATGTTGGTTGATATATCTATATCATAGCAAAGATTGATGACTAATATGCAGCTGTTTGCAAGGTTGAGCCTACAAGTGTCCTAAAAAAAATTGAGAAATATAGTGAGATCTTTTGATATAAACAGTTATCAAACAAATGAATTTTTCTCTTATTAGCGTGTGGCAGGCCAGTGCATAATGAATTCTATTGGAAAATGAAGATTTTTACATACTTTATTTTCATCTCCAGGCCACAGGAAACCGAGTCAGCCGTGCAAGTGTGTTATGCGGTTCTCAAAATATTGTGTTAAGTGGTAAAGTTATCGTGCTTAGTGGTGTGATCATCAGAGGAGACCTTGCAAATGTTAGAGTAGGACGCCATTGTGTGATATCATCCAAAGCGGTTATCAGACCTCCGTTTAAAAAATTCAGTAAGGGGTAAGTAATTAGTGGATAACATTTGTTTTTTAGTTTGGTTATTGTTTTTATTTGCTTTAGTTGTTTTATCCTCAAAAAGTTGTTTACTGTCTGTACAGACTAATTTAGCAAAGGAAATTAGCACATACAATTGTCACCTTATGCTACATCTTTTCTGCAATACAAAAAGCATGAATTCAGAGCTCTTGAATGTAATTTAAGATGATACTAAGTAAAAGGAATAAATATCACCTATACATGATATTGTTTTATATTTCTTCTAGTTTTACTTTTCATATTTTGTTATTGAAAACGCTTTGTACCTTTGTCATTGTTCTTAATGTTATTACTGTCACATATAGCTAAAATATATATATGCGTGTGCATATTTATTTTTCTCCTTATATATAGATATATTTGACGTGCTTACCTTTTCTTTTTAGTAATAGTTGTTTTTAATATTTCAGAGTAGCATTTTTCCCACTTCACATTGGTGACCATGTTTACATTGGTGAGGGTTCTGTTGTAAATGCTGCAGTCATTGGCTCTTATGTCTATATTGGAAAGAACTGTGTTATTGTAAGTATTGAACATGCTTCTTATATTGTGTCTGTGAATAGTTTTTTCTTCTGTTGAATTATTAGGTTACTGTTTTGTATATATTAATAATCACTCTGCTGAAGAGCAAATTTGCTTTGCTAATATGAATTTTATCGAAGAATATAAAATTTTAGGGACGCCGTTGTGTACTGAAAGATTGCTGTATGATTGCTGACAACACCGTCTTGCCACCTGAGACTGTTGTTCCACCATTTGCAATCTATAGTGGTTCACCTGCCAAGCACACAGGAGATCTGCCAGAGGCTACACAAGATCTTATGACTGATTACACTAAGTCATGTTATCACCATTTCATCAGAGTCAAAGATATGCCACCACAGGCAAAGGAAGGAACTACAAAGCTTATTGAAATTTAGATGTGTTTCATTTACTTCTTAAAAATTGGGTGAGTATTTAAACTTGCTATTATAGAGTGGAGGGCAGTTTAGTGACAAATGATGAGCACTGCCCTGTACCATGTAGGGGCCAAAATGAAATTTTATCAAAATAATCTTTAAGATTTAAATAGATCCCAAGAAAGTAGTGCAGCCGACTGTCAGTAAACTACGATTTAATCCTTATACATCTAATTGCCTGTTGTTTTTCCAATATTATTTCCATTTAGAAGATATTTTCAGTTTAGTAAACATAAGAAAAGTTTTGCATTCATTGTTGGAAAATTAATTCACAAAAATGCTTTGCAGGTATTACAGAAAGCTCTATTTTTGCTTCACTGTTTCCTCAAGCCAAAAGTATAATATCCAGCCTGAGTTATGGAACTTCAGTTGAACTCAGTGAAGAAGAGAATATATTTCTGAGGTACGCTATTTATTTCAAATCAGTTACCTCAGAATTTAGCAAAAGCATAAATTAAATTATGTTATGTTTACAGGTCGACTATGATGTCTTTTGACCTAACAATTGGTCTGCCTAAATATATCACTAGGGGATTTCTGTGTCTACTACTAATCAAATACAGTATATGTCATTCTAGTATGATACTGACAGCATTGTGAATTATTATTATTTCAGAAGCTTTAAATATGGATTATACTTTTTTTTTATATATATATATAGAATAATAAATGAAGACTCAAAAACACAGAACTTTTACTATCACAAGATTATCTTCTGGAGCCAGATTTTATGGCTGGGTAATAGCAGTCTATTTGTGTGCTGCTGTAAAATAAATTTTGAATATGTAGACTTTATTAGGACTGTTATTGCAAAAGTTAATTTCAAGCTTAATAAAGATGGAATTTATATCATTATGGGCTTGTGTATGTTAAAATAAAGTAAATAATGGCAGTTGTTGTTTCTTTAAAAGATGCAAAGATTGCTCTTACTATTATATTGTCACACCTCTATATTGTACCAAAGCACACATTTTTAAGCCTGCGAGATAACCTGTTTGTAAACTAGTTATAAACTTGTTCCATATTCTCAATTTTCACAATTTGGTAAGGACTACCTTAGCTATTGCATAATATTATTCTAGATATTGGAGAACAGGATTCTGAATAAACTTTTATAAAGCTGGAAGTAGTATATATGTAACCAATTGTTTTGATATGATGATACACATTAATTAGGATGCCACACTATGCTTGGGAAAGGCATGAGGAATTTAATGTCCATATGTTCTGGACATCAATTGAAAATTTATAGTTTGTACACTATATATAAC